TGATTTTTATAATAGAAAAACAAAGGATATGGGTATCCATCCATGACACAAAATCAGTACATGCACAGCAAAAAACACACCAAAAGCAAAGGAACAGCGCTTTTATGGCTGTTATTCATCTGAAAGCCACAGTGAGGCCTTCAGCACGGAGAAAAAAAACTCTCACCTCACTGCAAGTTTAAGACGGCCCCTAGCATCGGTTTGAGCGGAATTCTTTGGAAAATGATTCGGATAGACTTTGTAAGATATATCACCACCAAATCGGGCCCGTTCAAAAAAGAACATACTGGAAAGTAGTACATATTTTTAAAAAAATGGTTCCTACGCATAGGTGTTAATATAAAACTATGTAGAATGAATATTAGTTATTAAGGTATCAAATGACCGGTGATATTTGTAGAACACATATTGACTGATAACTTTGAATAATGCAAACATCTATGAATGAATTCTAAAATTGAATGAATTCTATAGTTGTATTGTTTCATATTTTTCATGTCGGGGCCTTTTATAGCCGACTATACGGTATGGGTTTTTCTCATTGTTGACAGCCGTTCGTTTGCCTGTAATTGCTTACATTCATTTCATTTGAACTTTGGTGGATAGTTGTCTCATTGGCAATCATACCACAACTCCTTATTGTAATATAAGTTTTAAAAGCGCAATAACTTTGCGATATCATATGTCAGAATCAAAGAAAAGACAAATACAAATTACAGCATTAGAAAACAATTGCGGAAAAAGAAAATATAATCGTTAGTCAGAAGAAAAAGCATTGGTCTTTCTACAGATAGGTAAAAAGACATAACAAGAGGTGGACAATTAGGTGCTAACGAAATTCTGAAAGATACTTTGCAATTAAGTCACGGATTCGAAAGGAGTTGTTGACACAAAACGCTGACGAAAGAACGTTATGTTGAATAAATAAACGAACGAACTCGACGAACATATAGACGAACAAACGACCAAACAAATTAAAATTAGTCTATATACCATCCAAACGATGTTCATAATCACTTATACAAATTATTATTACGATTTCCATATAAAGGTATAGAAAGATTAATGTCAGTTCATATCTTTTAATTCATCATCAACACAATATTATTTCTATTTTTACTATTATATTTTTATACATAGATTACGCATGTCAGGCACTTGTGGTCTCTCATATATAGATCGTATATACATTTAATCTTAAAGTGAGCTCTTTCTGGTTACCAAACGTATACATGGAAAAAAGGAGCATGAAACTTATTGGATTTGCGGTAAGATAATTTCTAGTTCTGTTTTGTTTCTACAAACCTAAATATAGTTCTAAAATAGTTTTATGAGTTAGACAATTTTGTTGATTTATGGAATGACGCAGACAATACCAAATAAATTTAACACTGTATACTGTCTATCATTACACAAAATTATTAGTGGTTTATGTGGAACACATGTTGAACAAATGTAGACGCTAGAGATTTACAATAAGTGTATGACTCCGACCCGAGTCCGAATACGAGTCAGAGTAAGACAGTTCAAATGACGGGGGGGGGGGGGGGGGGGGGGGGCGATCTAAAATAATAAAATTATTGTAAACATTGTACTTTAATCATTACAGTATAAATTGAAAAGTTGTCTTCGGCGATTGACAAATCAATGACTACCACAAACTTTAACTTTGGCTTTAAGTGTGTGACGAGGAAGCCTCCAACGAGTTCCAATGACTTGATAGCATTTCAATTTGCCAATAACATGTTCAACGGAGATTTGGTATTATCCAATGAGTCTGTTAAGCCTCCTACACTTTCTTTTTTTTGTGTGTTCTTGCTTTCTGGTTATCTGCTGTCTAGTGTATGCCGAGTATGGCTGATGAAATAATTCAATCTCTTCTTCTTGACGAGAACCAGGAGCAACCCACTCTTGTATGAGCAGAAGAGGAGACTGAACTTCAAAAAATGAATAATGGGTCTGACAATAGAGATATAAATACAGGCGATGCTACAGTGAAAGCTGAAGAAATTGCCACAGATAATGATACAGCATGAACTGCAGATAATATTTATGATGCTCTTGTTAATCTTGAAGCTGCAAGAAAAGAAAACCCCCGTAAAAAAGAAACAAAGAATCATGAATGCAATTGGTTCGTAGTAACCGTGAAAGATATGGCACGCTTATTACAAAACAGGTTCCTTAATTGTTTAAAAGCCTCGGAGTTGATTAAGATTAATCTGAAAGTTATAAGACTGTTTTGGTTCAATCATGGCTGATCCTGGTCCACATGTGCCACCCGTAAAACAATCATACAGAAAACTTAATGTCTATTTCAAAAATTTCTATTTCTTTGCCTGTATGTACAATTCTTTGCCTGTATGTACTATTCTTTGCCAGATATTATAAAAATGAAATCAAAGGTTTATACCAGGAATGTCTCGGACATTTCGAAAATCAGTGTTGATCAACTATTGTTAAAAGAGATATGTCTCTTGGAAATATAAATTCTATAGAAAATTGCAATGTAAGTGCTCTCATGTGTACAATTCTTGACAGGTATTTATTAATTTGGTATTGCTCTTGGACAGATAAAATATGTGAAACGCAGGGGATATTGGAACTTTTCTTTTATTCTCATCAAAACCAATGCGGACAGGAGTATGCATTACTGCGGAGCCCCTTAAGTGCCACGCAAATATAAATATTTTCGTTTTACAGAGATTTAAACAAGTTTGAAAAATCGTGCGCACGACTTTGAAACTCGTGTGCACTACTTCAAACATCGTGTACACGATTTTTAAACTGGTGCGCACGACTTTCAAAAAAGGTTTGACTGACACTATACGAACTTGCGCACGAGTTCGAAAGGTCGGACGCTCGAGTTTGAAAGTCATGCGCACCATTTATGAAAGTCATACGAACGAGTTTGATAGTCGTGTGCACCAGTTCAAAAGTCGTGCGCACCAGTTTCTAAGACGTGTGCTCGATTTTTCAAACTGGTGCGCACCAGATTAAATCTCAAGCTAACGAAATTATTTATATTTACATAGCACTTACAGGAATCTGTGCTATTCCCCAACACCATACAGAATGGAAACAAATGACCACAAAACAAACAAATTGAACAATAATTATCCAATTCCCTTTTAAATAATTCGTCATTTATGAAAGGACTTTTTTTAAACTTGAAAAGGGTTTATTTTTCTTTTTTTTATGTTATCGGTAAAAATTATCAAAAAACTGGAGAATAAATTTTTGTTATGAAAGTTTTTAAATTCTGAACATAATTATCTGTTAGCGAGCTTATACGAAAAAGCGCACGTTCTACCCTTCAGTTTAAAAAAATCAATTAATTTGATAAATGGTTTTGTCCTACCACCACACAAAGATTGAACACGGTAAAATTAATTAACGAACACATTATTTTGAGATCAACCCTAAAGTTTACCTGTATGATTTGTACTCTGACTCGGACTCCAAGTCTGACAGATATTGTAAATCTCTAATAGAAACCGTCTAAACGTGTAAATCTATAAATGAGAAAACCGTCTGTTTCCGTTGATCTATAATTGAATAATTAAATAAACTTAGATTGGTATGTTTAATTATTTTTGTACAAATAAGAATAAACGAATATACATCGGATATGCATGGTACGACAACAAGACAGCGCTCATAACATTTTTCCCACTCCGTGCAATTCAGGCAAGGTTAGCTACCACATGTTGGTTGAAACCCTGCAAAATGAGGGATATTGCACACGGAAATCAAATATTTCTTTTATTAATAGAAGTCATTTATCTATTGTTGAAAATTGTATACATTCGTTTTACAGTTGTTTTGATATGAACGTGGGAGGTGTTATTTTTCAGATACCAATAAGATTCATATTTGCATAACTAGAAATGCAAGGGATTTAGTAAGTGTTCAAACTTGAATTTCATAGTTTGACTGATACATTTTGTGATACTCTCCGACTTCTTATATTTGGATAGAACGACAATTGAAGATAATTCGTTTTAAAAAATCAACACATTGAAATTATGTACAATTCCGTATTGTATATCTATATTCTTATTATCCAAAAACTGTCGTAGAGTGTTTATGTGTCTCACTATTTTTGATTATTTTCGAAGTATGAGTTAACTTTTATTACAGCTGTTTTCCATACTTGTTTGCGTCGGTTTTGAGCAATCTAATGGCTGCGGACGGAAGAGGATTGTTTCGGTAAGAAAATGTCATAAATATATTTGTTAAGAAAGATAGTTTTTAAATAAGTCATACCAGTTGGTAAAAACAAGACCCAATAAACCGTTTATCCTTGATTCGTTAAACCCATACTGAGAAGGGGAACTTCGTTTTGTGCGGGATTCAAACATACGTCACACCTGAACATGAACAATCTTTACACAAAGAAACTACTTAAAAATATTTGGAGTTTGTTTTAAAAACAGATTGTTTTTCAAGTTCAAATAAAAATATTTTAGATAAATGTTTCTTCAACCCTCAATTCTGAAAATGTTACTTGTAATTATTTTTCAGTTATAAGAAAGACATATAATTTTACTGTAATGTATTACATTGATATTTTGGTTAGGATATGGTGACATCTGACATGTCTTGATAACATTTAAACCAAACACTTATTTTGATTTAGTATGTTACTACTGTTCAAGAGGATTGCAATTGTAGATACACTCCATTATTACTGTTTAGTGAAGTGAGAACACTTATCCATTAAATATATTCAAAAAGGGTTGTTCGACACTGTCACTCATTTAATCAAACCTTAGCTAGAATCATTTATTTTTTTCTCACGCATGACAATTATGGCTGTTCTAAAATTTGTAGCTATTTTTGGTCCTAATCAAAGCAAACTGAATGTTAGCTCCACCGGCGCCATATCAACGGAAGATTTTTCAACACGAGACGAAATTTGATATTCCTTTAAATAATGGGGTGACAAATTACATCTTGTAGGTCTAAATGCTAATTATAACAATAATAATTATTTGCAGGTAGTTCTCAGGGGGAAGGGTTCCATTTTGGAACTACTAATCTTGCTTGTCTTAGCAGAGGAAAGAGGTCTCCCAGCAGAGCAGTACATAGACTAGCCCATCGATATTTAAAATATCATGGGTATTACTATGAATGGAGACCTATAAGAGGAACAGAAAACAACGAAAGATGGGATGGACAGGTATCCATCCAAACAGAACCACTTCGATCCAGATATTGTAGGCATGGTACCGAATCTTACGCGGCAGGATATGGAGTTCTCTGTACAGAATGTGTAAACGGATGTGTTCGGTATTTCGAGAAAGCATACTATTATATAATATTGACCAGCAACTGTCACCATTTCGCTAATTGGTTGGCAAACATTTTGTGCACACGGTTCTCTTGTCCTTCTGAATGTGAGCGATATCGGTAGAGTAAAACACTGCGTTATATATTTCAAAATATTTGAAAAAGCGCCGTATGTACAACGAAAGAACTGTTACTGAATGTAATCGATGCTGAGATTTCAAAATTTTCTTATACATTGAGCAGATTTACAGTTTACTAGGATTTCCAGGCAGATACATTGTTGAACAACACCAATTATAGTAGGCATGGTTTATTTTAGGACTTATGTCAAATATATATGCATGGCCCTGCATGTATATTCATCAACATTCAAACATTTACTAATGTAATGCCACAACTAATTCCATTTTTAAAGCATAAATGGTTAAGGATTATCGCCCCTGATACCAAGGTCTCTTGTGGTGAGAACTCTAATATAAAAATTGAATTTTTGTGAAAACAAAACAACAAAATGTCTAAAGATTGGGAGAATGAATGGGAAAGTGACATATGTAGCATGCAATCTTTGCAAACCAACCCATACTGCGATGATCAACACTTAAAAACCAGTCAAAATATATCCGACTTGACTGACAATGTAAACAACATGGCGCCAACATATGCAAAAGTAACTGCTGGCAACTTAACAATAAATACAGATACAAATGATACAAATGATACAAACGATACAAACGGTGTCAAACCAATATTTATTAAAGAAACAGACGTATTTGGAGCCTCAAACCCAGCCAAAGAACTCTGGCTTTCCCACACAGAAATATTCAAAGGGATGGCAATGTCAATAAAAAGAGAACACATAAAGGGAATTCAGAGAATAGGCAAAATGTGGAGGTTATACCTAGATACAGAAGAAGACAGACTTAAACTACTAGGTGAAGGAGTAGTTCTCAGAGGAAAAACTATCCCCCTTCTTCCCCACAACCCAAACAATCCAAACTACAAAAGCAACCTAAGAAAAGTCAGAGTAAAAAATGTGCCATTGTCTGCTGATGATGGTCAGATACAGAGAGAATTAGAGATGAGAAACATAAAAGTCATTTCATTATACAGAGAAAGGCTGAGAGTTGACAATAAAATGACAAACTGCCAGACAGGAGACAGAGTATTTTTTTGTGAGAAATTTGAAAAACAATTACCCAAGACAATGCAATTCGGGAAATACCTAGCTAGGGTTTCACACTTTGGACAGATAGATGAAAACACTCTATTTATTTGTAGTAAATGCCTCCAGAAAGGCCACTTTACAAGTGACTGTCCCAATGAATGGGTATGTAGGGGCTGCAACAAGTCAGGCCACACATTTTTAGAATGTCCCACCTTTTTGGAAAGAATGAAGCAAAAAGAAACAAAAGACCAACAAGGAAAAGGAAAACCAAATTATTATACATGACTCTACAAGACAAGAAACAGAACAAAATGAGCACATAGAAGAAATTACAAATCAAAGCAACCAAGAATGCGACACAACAGATGAATGTACAGATCCTTCTAAACAACCAAGTGCAATTTTGGAACAGAACAGGAAAGTAACTACAAATGACAAAAAAGATCAAGCCCAAGAAATGAAAACAGAAAGAAAGAAAGAAGAAAAACATGTCAGAAAAAAATGAAAGCATTTCGCACAGTGTAGACTCAAAAACTAAAAATACTGATAAACCAGCAAAGGAAAGAACAAGTCAAAGACAATAGGACATTAACAGATTTACTACTCCAAATAGAAGACAAGAAGCACTGAAAGGAAGAACACCACCAACTCCACTAGACCAAGATAGAGAAAACAAGTCTTCAAAAACTTAATCAAATAATTAAAACATATCTTTTATCTTAACATAATAAAAGTAGAAAAAGATAATGTCATTGTATATATTGTATATAGTCTTTTTGATTGTCATTCATCATTTATTACCAAAGCATAGTAACACAAGTGCATTCAATATGTCATACACTCAGTATCAACATAAAAGCAAATGCTATCTTAATTGTCTAACTCTAAAAATGTTAACATTGATGATACAAGCACTTTTGTATTTTATCAACACATTTACCTTAAAGAAATGTAACTCAAATACATTTTCAAAAATGGGTTTTCCCATAACTATTTTTAGTAACAAAGTATAACGTAATAAAATCACAACAAAAAGTATTTAAAGAAATGAAAACAACGACTATACTTACATTAGCTGTTCTGACAAGTACCGCTTGTCTAATCTGTTATAATAAACCTGAAATTATTTCAATTAAAGTAACTAAAGTAATACATATTTATAAAAATAATTTTTCATATTATTATTGCATGACGATACTGTTTGTAGTTAGATGTATTAAGGTACAGAAACAAAAGTTATGTAACACGGTAATGAAATCGTGTAGTAAACGAAGGAATTTATGTTTTAGAACTTGTGGTATTACTATTACGCAATGTGTACATTTACAGCTATATAGACATTGGTTAGTATGTAATTTGTTGTATATTATTTGTTACGAGAACACAACAGAGAAACCAAAAGACTATTTAACATCGTATAGGTATTCTCTGTTTTTATCATACATGTGTTACAGTTTGTATGGTACCCACTTTGTACGCGCATGGGTTGTCTGCCTGCGCTATTGTTATATACTCGTATTTATATATTATATACATTGCCCAGTATGTAAAACTCTTATAACATGTATAAGATCAGAAAACATCATAAAGTTTATATGTAAAGTAAGAACAATCATGTTAAACTACCATACACGGCACCCGGGGACTTCAACTAAACTAGTTATCTTTCAAAAAAAAGCAAATGACATAAAAAAATCTAAATTTAAAGTCCCAGAAAAATATAACTATACAAATAACAAGTGTGTATGTGTGAAGAAAAAAAAAAAGAACAACGTGTATTTGTATCCATACTTTTTAAAAGTAAAAGTATGCTTAGGAAGGAAAGAATACATAAACCACCTAAGATTAAAATCAAAATTGTAAACACCTTTGAAATTTTTATGAATGGCATTATAAGTAATTCGACAACTCTAAACACCTTTATCATCAGGTTGTCACGTATTACACCTTCCGAATCTATCAACAAAAAAAGTAATTACAAGCCAGTCAAGCGTACTTTAAATAAAGTAAATAAAAAATTTAAGAACAATAAAAACAATACTCAGTATGATAAAAGACATCCATATTTGCACGCTTAACGTCAAAGGACTCAGAGATAAAGAGAAAAGAGCAAGATTTTATCAGTGGATAAAAAATCAAAAAAGTCTTATAACTTTTATACAAGAAAGTCATTTTGACGAAAATCTAGAACAAAAATTATATACTGAAACTAGTAACCATTTCTATTTTAGTCATGGTACAACCCAAAGTAAAGGTGTAGCTATTATAATTGATAATAGACTAGAATGCAAAGTAATCAATGAAAACAAAGACAAAGACGGCAGAATACTAATGTTAAACATAGAAATAGAAAACATAATTTATTCGCTCATTAACATCTATGCACCAAACATAGAAACTGAAAGAAACAAGTTTTATAAAAATCTGTCTGATTTCATAAATAATTATGCAATTGGAACTGTCATAATAGGAGGTGATATGAATGATGCACTGTCAAACTTAGATAGAAAACTCGCTTGCGATAAACGTAAAAATATAAAACCAGTGAATAGTTTAAAAACATTAATTAAAACGCACAATCTTATTGATATTTGGCGATATTTAAACCCCCAAAAAATTCAGTTCACCTGGAAAAGACAAAATTTCAGTCAAGCAAGTCGAATTGATTACTTTTTAATAAATAAAGACTTTGTACTTAATACAAAATCAAGTGATATTAGACCCGCATTAATAAAAAGTACAGACCACCAAGGCGTATCTCTCAAATTACAAAGCGTAACTGCCGAAAGTAAAGGCCCGGGATACTGGAAATTAAACAATTCTATTCTAGAAGAAAATGAATATTGTAAAGAAATAGAAATAATAATTGCAAAATATAAGACTATCATGCAAGACACAATTATGGATTTGCATCTTCTTTGGGATGCGATAAAACTTGATATTAAACTGTTTACCATAAACTATTGCAAAAGTAGAGCATACAATAAAAAAAATGAAATAAAACAATTGGAAAAAAATTTAACCATTTTAACTGAAAAATATCAGATAAATGAAAACAATGATGTATTGCAAAAAATAAATCAAATTGAAAATCAGCTAGAAAAGCATTATGAATATAAAGCAAAAGGCGCCCAATTAAGATCGAAACAAGACTGGGTAGAAAAAGGCGAAAAAAATACAGCATATTTTTTAGGACTAGAAAAAAATAAACGAACAAAAAAAACAATTATAAAACTAAAAGATCACCAAGGAAATATTGTTACAGATCAAAGCGAAATACTTCAAATTGAAAAGAAATTTTACGAAAATCTATATTCAAAAGAAAACGAAGATATTGCCCAATCATGGGAATATATTAACAGTACTGAAATAAAAAATAAATTATCAAAACATGAAAGTCAAACGTGCGACGGATATGTTACAATAGAAAAATTAACACTAGCAGTTAATAATTTAAAACCCAATAAAAGCCCAGGTAAAGATGGTATCACGACAAATTTTTATAAAAAGTTTTGGCAATCATTAGGTCCAATCCTTGTTAACATTTTTAATACAAGCTATGACAGGCAAAAGCTACCATTTTCCCAAAGACAAAGTATTCTTAATCTAATATACAATAAGAATGATCCACTAGATCTTTCAAATTATAGGCCAATTTCCTTATTAAATTCAGATTATAAAATATCATCATACACATTAGCTCAAAGAATAAAAAATGTACTAAATCTTATTATAAACGCAGACCAAACAGGGTATATAAAAAAACGATATAATGGTTTCAATCTCAGACAAATACACGATATCATAGATTACGCCGATAAATTTAATGTTGAAGGTGCAATTTTGTTTCTAGATTTTTCAAAAGCATTTGATACTTTAAAATGGTCCTTTATGTACCAACCTCTCGAATATTTCGGCTTTAATAGTTCATTTATAAACTGGATCAAGACGTTATATTC